GGGGATGCCCTCAACTTGTTAAATGTCTAAAAACAGAGGGGTAGGCTTATACTCAGGGAGGGGTTTATGCTCGGAGAGGTACGATAACTTCTTTGGTGAACATAACTGATTGATCTAACTTTACATGACAACATGTCACTGATCACTGATCCTTCAATAAATGAAATAATCAATGAGGCATACTCTTTTTTTATTTTGCAACAAATATGTAATTTATGCCTACAATAATAATTATTATATTATTTCTCTGGTTTCCTATTTTCTTGAGATATGAATGACCTCATGACGATAGGGTCACAATTACATATTTTATGCTAGAATATATTTCCAGTTTTTTTGCTTATGTAACTTACATATTTGTTCCTTTAGAAGTACATCTCTAATAGAGGTTCATACGAGACAAAAATATTTGCAATTTAGAGTGATTATAAAAACCTACTGATCCATTTATATTTTTCTTTTTAACAGAACATTTATATATGGTCATGTGCATCTAATAGAGTATTAAAATATGGTAACGTGTTCATTGTACATAGTGTATATTTCATTGAAGATGCACTGAGAAAAATTGTATAGATTTATTGAGATCTACTATTATGTGAAATATTTGGCAGAAATATGTACAAATTTATCGGAATGTTTATTAAATGTTGAAATTGCAGTGATTTCAATGCGTCAGCATATTGGCAATCTTTTTGGCTTGATATCATTCATATTTGCTCCCTTTCACAGTAATTTGAAACAAGGGTGAATGTTAAATATTTTCCATGCCACTAAATAGGTCACATAATATTCCCAAGACGAATGTTCTCAGAGCACGAGCTCAACATGTTCACAATACTGCATTTCATCTTTACGTTCTGTTATCACTAAATGGTGCCCTACATCTAACAGTATACCTTTAATTACACATAATGCATAATTCAAGACATAGATAAATTGTCGCTATGGTGATAGTCTTTCATATACCCATCCATCATCTCCCGTGTGTGTCATCTTTTCATCGACAACTTCTCCATTTTTTGGTCTCCGAAACTGAATTCTGTCATGAGCTCTGGTACTCTGACCTTGCCAGAACTCAACAACTTCTGGCTTCACTAGGAATCCACCCCTGTGGTATAAAAAACGCATTAATTATCAAAGCATTGAAAAACAATTTTACGCTTTGCAAATAGGACACTAAGAAAATGGTCTTCTCCAGTTTGAGCAAGGTCTTCATCACATAACACACCATCGCTAACCCTACTCTTATAAATCCTTGGTATGAAATATCATAAAGATTGAGGAATAATGGTTAACCTTTTTACCACCAGTTCCCTCTTTTCATCACATCCCATTTATAGTCTGTACTTCATTCAGAAGATTGGAACAAAATAGCAAAATTTTTTTAAGTAAAAACTGAAAATTTACTCAAATTGTGTCTGTTGGCTACAAAATGTGGGTTCATTTCCAGAAAAATTGCAGAATGTAGGAAAAAAGTGCAGAATGATTTGGGCGAGAAAGTCTGGTGGTGAAAAGGTTAATACAAGTTGTAATATTTACCAGTTTTCAGGTTTCGGTACTTCTTTATCAGCATATAGTTTCCTCAACTCATCAGTTTTTTTAGTCAAAACCTAAATAAAAATATTACAAAGGGCTATTGATATAAATAACACATATTTGGTGATATTCTTAGTACAGTATTACTAAAATGAATGAGTTTAAAGCGAGAGGGTCGTCACCTGTGCACGTGCGGGAATTGAGTCCCAAGCAACGATAACAACACACGCTAAAAATGCAAAGGCTCATGGGTAGACACTCGTTTGTAAACAATGACACGCTATGGCCATCTGACACATGCGCAGGTGATGACTCCCCGGATTTAAGTCCACCCAACTTGTATTATGATAGTTGAGTCACATAACAAGGTGTTAAGCAATTGATATCTACTTACATCTCTGCTCTCAATGACTGAACTTTGTTTACTAGCACAAGCACTAATCTGACTTTCACGTGGTCTAGAACGGAAATATTCCGTTGATTCTTCTACCGACACTTTCTCAACAGAACCTTGTACTCGAACCTAAGATAATAAAATGCAAATACCCAGTATTATAACACTTTTACCCTAGGTTTCTATAACCGAGATATTATACCATATCTCAAAAAGATGTATAGTGAATGATGGGGCAATTTTCGTTGTTCTGAAATATTTCATGGTGTTCTATGAAATTGTTCTTAAAATAGCGATTTTTAAAAAAATTGTTGTTTCTCACAACGTTGTGTCATGAGATTTATGACAAACTTTCTGGGTTATGAATAGGCTTCTACCTTAAGATACAACGCTGAATCTGTCTGAAATAATCAGACGCTACTCTCCCTATTGATAACCAAGCTGATAATCAAGTAGTATGTACAGTATCACATGATAGTACCCGCAAGTAACATTCATCAAACAATCATTCATTTAGGTGAAGCCAACCCCATTTTTTAAAAATACATGTAACACCTGAACAGAATAAAGGTAGGTGGTAGTTGTGTCGTGTCCTGTTTGATAAGGAGCTTATAGCGATGTACACAATGCTTGTAGAATACATTGTTTGTTCACATAAAATTTGAACAAGCACTTCACAATGGTTATCGCCCTATAAACTATTATTCCGGTCCTACTATTTAACGCCCGGACACGCGAGGGAGTGTCCGGGCACGCGCGGAGGCGAACAGGGGGAATACCTAACGCGCGGGGCAGCGGCAGCAATCCTTGTACTGTATAATATTCTTTTATGCTCATAATTTGAACTGGGGTGGCGAATTCGAGCAGCTATCCACACTTTTTATGATCGACGCCCGGGCATTCCGGCGAGTCGAGTCCGCCATGTTGTTTACTAATTTGGGTTAGCGTTTAACAATAGGACAATACCATTCGATCCATGGGGGTGACAGTCCTTGTCGAAGGACAAGGACAGGAAAAGTTTGTGCAAGTGTGACGAGACTCCCGTAGTTACGCGGAAATTATTTACCTCATGTGAAAAAAAAGCATTTTCGAGCATACGTATCGAGACCAAACATAATTTGTCGATAATCGAGTGTTGCAAGAAAAAGTGAGATTGTCGCAAAATGTAGCAAATCGTTTTCAAAACAGTGCTGCTAAGAAAGTCTCGCTTTGTTTGCGCCCACTGTAAAACATGTATAGTAAACAAACCGCCCTTTTAGAAAATATTTTTATTAAAAATAAGTACAAATCAACTAAAACGAAAATTAAAACATGTATAGTAAATAGACAGACACCCCGCCCTTGTGGAAAATATTTTTATTCAAAATTATTCAAAGTACAAAGTACGTTAGGTATTCCCCCCTGTTCGCCTCCGCGCGTGCCCGGACACTCCCTCGCGTGTCCGGGCGTTAAATAGTAGGACCCTATTATTCAGCACCACTGAGTGATAAATCAGCATTTTTAATGTACATGTACAATTAAGTTTGTTACAGAGAAACAGCTACAAGATACTCACAGATCGATGCAAAGGTTCCCAGAAGAAAACCAACGCTGCATAAGGATTACTGGCCTGCCAAATAAAACATGTGTTAAATAATAATATGTTACGAGTTAGATGGACTACCTGATTTAACTCCTTTCCCTCCCACAGTTGAACAACCAGGCAGGAAACGACCACATTCAAATGCTAGATCCATATTGTTGCATTACTTCTTAGTGAGAAAGAAATAAAACAAGTTCCACTA